CCCACCCCCCCATCAACCATAAAAGTATCACCCAGCCTTTCCACACACAGGAGATCGGTCAGCATCCCTTTGTCTGTTAGTTATCCTGTGTTTTACAGTTGCTACCAAAGCAAGTTTATTATTTCTGAACATGAAATGTGATATGTTTGTGGGTCTACCTATACTTCTCCCTCTCCCAACTCCAAAAGTATTTTCACTCTAACTGGATGTGAGGAGTCTGTTTCATTTTAAACTGCCAGATTATGAAGAGCCTAAGAGCTAATGTGGGTGGTGGTTTGTCCATCCTTTATTTCAGGGTGAGCTGTTGAAAGTTTGTTTTGTTTGGTCTGGTTTTATTTGGCATTGTCATGCAGATAGCAGTATTTTAGTACTGGGCGAGGCTGGATTCCAGTGGGAATGAAAGAGGAAGCTTCTGCCGAGATTAGAGAATCTCACACTAGGATGGGGGCGGTGGAAATGGAGAGGAAAGAATAACCAGAGAGAGGCACCATAGTGTAGTGGAGAGATCATGGCTTTTGGAGTCAGACCCTGGTTTGAATCGTGGCTGTGATGTCTATGGAATGCCATTTCAGCTCTCACCACCATTCCTCCTTGAAGGGTTATTATATGGATTAAAGATGCTGTGTGTAAAGTACCTGGTGCAGTGTAAGCAGCAAGTGAATATCAGTAAGCTGTAGATGAGATGATCATGATAAAAATATCCCACAGAAAGATTAGCTGGGCCTAGTGACTGAGTGAATTAGAGATTAAGAGACTTCAGGGTGTCATTGAGTTTAAGCACCAAGGGGATTAGGAGAGTAGTAGTTTTTAGGTTGAATGGAAACAAGAAAGTAGGGTGAAAGTTTGAGACCTGGTTTGGCAGGGCTAGTACCAAGGACAGTTTTGGACATGAGAGCTGGTGCTGAGGTGGTGGCAAGGAGTAAAAAAATGGGAAAACTGTGATGCAAAGAAGCTGATATACTCTAGGACTGTTTGATCAATGAGTCTGATTTTGCAGCTTTTCCTTCAAGGAATTAGCTAGCCAAAGGTTGATCCAGCATGGTCATCTTGTAAACTAGACCTTTGTTCCTCAAAGTGTGTTTCTCTGACTAGGAATCACCTGGATCTTATGTAGAATCTTTCCTCCTACCTCAGATCTGCATTGGAATAACAGGATTTGTAAGCACTTCACTGTTTGATTGAGAAGCACTGTTCTAAAGCATGGGCCCCAGACTAGCAGTATCAGCTCGTGTTAGAAGTCTAGGTTCTCAGGTGCCTTCTTGGACTCCTGAATTAGAAGTGGTGTGTTTTAACGAATCCCTCAAGTGAGTCTGATGCACTCCTGAGTTTGAGAATCACTGCTCTGAGTCATGGGGCAGATTGAGCCCCCTCCTGTTGGGTCTCTGGCCCAGAACAGAAGAAGGATTGGTTAAACCCTGAAAGTTAAATTTAACTCACTGTTCTGTGCTGTTCCTCATCATTTTGCATTAAACACAGCTGAAGAACTCTTTTCACTGAAGCAGGGCACTGTGGGTAAAATAACAAACCCAAGGAGAGAAACTTCAGCTGTGACTTAATCCTTATGACCTATCCATCAAAAGTTATTGAGCACAGTTATGGAGGATGAGCCCTTTATGTGCTGTTGCTCCTGGGGGACGCCGTTAGTGAGACACATAGGGAAACAGGTCAGGGAAAGGACTCTCCCGGTACTCCTTACAATGTGATTTTCACATTAAAATGTCCATAGTCTTTGTCTTCTGTGTTTCTAATCAATCCCATGGACAGTTCCCTTTTATGGGTTAGCTTCTGGAGTCACTTGCAGAAGTGACAGTGGTTTATCATTTAGATTAGAATATTTTTCAAAAAGTTGAACTGTGAGAAGCCAAAATTTACCTCTGCTCATCAAAAAGATCTGATTTTTCTAGTTATTCCATAGTTCTTATTTAAATAACTGTGATAACTTGCCCCAGCCAGTGTGGCTCAGTGGTTGAGCATCGACCCATGAACCTAGAGGTTGCGGTTCGATTCCGGGTCAGGGCACATGCTCGGGTTGTGGGCTCGATCCCCAGTAGGGGGCATGCAGGAGGCAGCGATCGATGATTCTCTCTCATTATTGATGTTTCTTTTTTCCTCTCTCTCCTCCTTCCTCTCTCTGAAATCAATTTAAAAAAATATTTTAAAAATAATAATAAATAACTGTGATGACTTAAATAAGGGTCTGTATCTGTTTTCTGTATATATGTAATATATAAAAATGGTTATGTATTGAGCATTTTAATCCTAAAATTACCTATATTTTCTGCTGTAGGTAAATATAGTGTACATTTACAATCAGTGGCATGCTGGTACACCAGTTTGGGGGGGGGGGG